ACCTCCTGCGCTCAGCCCGGATCCAACTAACAGACCATCTATTTACCAGGACATACTCCTCCAGGGCAATGGCAAAAAAAAACGGAGTAGAAATACTTCTACATAAAAAAATGCCCCTTCGCCACCCAGACGACGCGCACAGACACTATGGGCCGGTACGTTGTCCTCACGGGGACAATACACGCCACCACGTACCACCTGATTAATATATACGCACCTAACCAGCCAGACCCGGAATTCTGGGAACAGCTTCACAATTTAATCCATTCCCTACCGTACGGAATCATAATATTAGGGGGCGACCTAAATGCTACACCCTGCCACACAGTTGACCGCAGTGCCCCGACCAGCGGCCACAAGACGCAGATCACGAGGGGCCAGGACAAACTCTTGACCAAATTCATACAGAACACGAAATTACTAGACCCCTGGAGGCTACGCAATCCAGGAGTGAAGGACTACACGTTCTTCTCGGCAGCACACTCTACATACTCCCGCATAGATATGTTCTTAGTCAACCAAACAGGGATCCCATGGGTTCAATCTGCACGCATCAACCTTATTACCTGGTCGGATCATGCCGACGTAGAGCTTACCCTCAGACTCCCAGGTCCCAAACCCTCATGGAAATGGCGATTAAACAGCACACTTATAAAAGACCCAGTAACTGAGAAACTTTTAGTGGACTAAATCACGGCCTATTTTGATGACAATGACAACCCGGACTTAACGCAATCCACGATATGGGCCGCTCATAAAGCGGTATTGCGGGGTACCCTCATTAAACTCGCAACCCGTCGCAAAAAGCAAAGGGCCGAAACCCTCTTCGAGCTCCAAAAGGCGCTGAGGAGGGCAGAAGCCAACCATAAACGCAACCCCACGACACAGGGCCTCCAAGACCTTAGAGACCTCCGCCATAGAATCAGGACAACAGCAGTTGAGGACCTTTTATTTCCACAGTATACTCTGCATTTATGGGATTATTCTATACCATATTGATATATGTTTTAGTGGTTGTGGCGCCCTGTAGTCTGTACTAGTGTTCAGACTTTGTGTTTATTTTATATAGAGGTTTAGAGTGACCTCAATACAGTGGCTTGCCTGCACTAAAGTTTAGACCTATTATCACCCATATCACCCTTTTATTTACTTCTATATGATGTAGTCTTTATCATTATTACTTTTTCTGTATCTGTATTGTCTAGCGTATATTTTTGTGATTTTTTTTTTGATTTTTTTTTGGTATTTTATTTCTTTTGCCTCCCTCTTTTTTTTTTGGTTTTTTTTTTTTTATCTGGGATTGGAACTTTCAGAGTTTTAGTTTCCTATACCTTTAGGGTTGTTGGTTTTGTTTGTTGGGATGTCATCTGCAATCCGTGTGTCGCTTTGCGTTGTTGGCTGGTTCTTAATGTTTGTGCGCGCTGGGGATTGTAGCGTTCCATCGTTGGTGGAGAGGTTGTTGTGCTTTGGAGCGAGGGTCTGCTTACATTCGCTGAGGCGCGTTGCCGTCCATCGCTGCACCGTCTCTGGGTATTAGGCCTAACGCTTGGGTGCCCCTTTGGGGGAGGTGGAAGTCCGCCGGGACCTCAATACCTATCTCTTGAAGGAAGGCTCTGGGGTCCGCCGTGGGAAGTAGCACCGCTGGTCTTGGCCCGTTGAATACTAGCATTTTAAAGGGGTGGCCCCATGCGAAGGTAAGGCCTTTTGCTCTGACTAGGTCTGCAATGGGCTTCCATTCTCTGCGTCTGGCGAGCGTGGCTGGCGCTATGTCCTGGAATAGGTGTAGTGTAGCGCCCTCTACTGCATATGTGTGGTGTCGGGCACTTTTGAGTATAGCCTCCTTGGTGGAGAAGAAGTGCCACCGCATGATCACGTCTATCGGTGGACCGTTGGGGGGTCCTCGGGCTCTCAGCGCCATATGTGCCCTGTCAATAGCCCACAGATGTTCCGGTATAGCTGGCAGTTGTTCTTTGAATAGAGCGGTTAGCACCCTTTGTAGATCGGTATCTTTAATCCTTTCTGACAAGCCCTTAATTCTCAGATTGTTTCTGCGTGACCTATTGGATGCGTCCTCTATTTCTGCCTCTAGCTCTGCCACTTTTGCCATTAGGGTGTTGGTGGCTGAGGCTGTTTCATTATGGGCCGTCACCACGTGGTCCATTCTCCATTCTAGTGCCTCTGTGCGCTGCCCCACTGTTTGAATTTCTGCCTTTACTTCACGGGCTGATCTTTCTATCTCCCCTGCAAGATAGTGCTTTACCTCTGCTAGTGAGTGCAGGATGTCTGTGGTGGTAGCCTGTTGTGGCAGGGCGGACCAGTCACTGGTATTCTGTGGGCTCGGGGAGTCTGCGCTCTCGCGGCCGCCGCCATCTTTAGGCACTTGCGGCCTAGGTGTAGTGAGGAGGTCGGCTACTGATGGGGTGCTTTCCCGCTGCTTCTTACCGGGTTTCTTCTGGTGTGCCATCTCCGGTTTGTTCCCTCTCTCGTGCCGGGTAAGTTGCAGAGACTGTGGTCGGGTTTGTGCGTCTGTCTTGGCTGTGCGGACCTCTCCGGATGCAGAGCTCTCTGCCTAAGCGGCCATCTCGTTCGGCGGTCGAGCCACGCCCCCCTACCTGGGCCTTTGTTGATCTATACAGAGAACCAACTAAAGTGAGTAACTGCGATCTGAATGCCATCACTTTTAACATATCCATCATGTACCAGTCGACCCGATCAAAAGCCTTCTCAGCATCGGTAGAGAGGAGAAGGAGATGCCGACCTGCATTCCTGGCTGCATGTAGATCGTGCTTTACCTCTGCTAGTGAGTGCAGGATGTCTGTGGTGGTAGCCTGTTGTGGCAGGGCGGACCAGTCACTGGTATTCTGTGGGATCGGGGAGTCCGCGCTCTCGCGGCCGCCGCCATCTTTAGGCACTTGCGGCCTAGGTGTAGTGAGGAGGTCGGCTACTGATGGGGTGCTTTCCCGCTGCTTCTTACAGGGTTTCTTCTGGTGTGCCATCTCCGGTTCGTTCCCTCTCTCGTGCCGGGTAAGTTGCAGAGACTGTGGTCGGGTTTGTGCGTCTGTCTTGGCTGTGCGGACCTCTCCGGGTGCAGAGCTCTCTGCCTAAGCGGCCATCTCGTTCGGCGGTCGAGCCACGCCCCCCTACCTGGGCCTTTGTTGATCTATACAGAGAACCAACTAAAGTGAGTAACTGCGATCTGAATGCCATCACTTTTAACATATCCATCATGTACCAGTCGACCCGATCAAAAGCCTTCTCAGCATCGGTAGAGAGGAGAAGGAGATGCCGACCTGCATTCCTGGCTGCATGTAGTACGTCAAACACCCTGGTCATGTTGTCCCTCGCCTCCAAATCCGGAACAAAGCCAGAATGTGGTTAACATTAAGCACAGATATTGGGTGATAACTTTTACACTGCCCAGGATCATTACCCTACTTGGGGGTAATGGCTAGAGTAGTCAAAAGAGAGTCCCTGTGAAAACTTTTCCCCAGCATAATAGCTTTACTGTGCAGCATGCGTGGGAAGAGTAGTTCCTTGAAAAGCTTTTAAAATCTCTGCCAATAACGAGCAGGCCCTCCCAGTAACCCTCCAACTTGGAAAGAACTGCTCCCAGAAACCTGCCTGGCCATGTGTTACAAAAGGATAGTGTGTTGGTTTACTTGTGATTCAATTGTGATCTTCGAATAGAATACTAGCAAAAGTATATGTTAGTGAAGCTATATTGCCATTAATAAAGTGAAACCTGCTGCCCTCATCTACAGTGTATGTTTAGAAAATAGTATCGCTAACTCACTTTTTTTCACGTGCACACAAAAAAAACAACGATTTGGTTGTAAGAGTCTCCCACCGTCAGCACAAAAGTGTGTTTCCTGCAAAGACACCACTGAAACATTTTGACATCTCAACACATCAGCATTCGGACCCCTAATGTTATGGAGGCAGAACGGGTAGGGACAGAGAGAGAGAGAAATATATATTAAGGATTAAGGATTTTGTCAAGACATTTTATATGGTTCCTCACAATAGGTTAGTGTTCAAACTAAGAGAAATTGATCTAGATGAATATTCTTGTTCTTGGGTAGAACATTGGCTTAAGGATAGAGTACAACGAGTTGTCATTAATGGTAAATTTTCAAACTGGACAAAAGTGGTAAGTGGTGTCTCTTGGGGTTCTGTTTTGGAACTGCTTCTATTTAACATATTAATAAATGATCTTGGAATAGGCATTGAAAGCCATGTTTTAGTGTTTGCAGATGACACTAACTTTGTAAAGTAATCAAATGTGAGCAGGATATTGCTATGCTGCAGAGGGATTTAGATAGATTGTGGGACTAGGCACTAAAATGTCAGATGAAATTTGCAAAATTGGAAGTGCTTTCAGAGTGGGTTTTTTGCCTTCTTTTGGATCAACAGCAAAAACATATGTGAGAAAGGCTGAACTTGATGGACGCAAGTCTCTTTTCAGCTATGTAATTATGTAAACCAATGCCATGGGGGTCACTTTAAAGGGTGGAGTGTGAGCTAATCTGCAATGTAGGCCTTGAAGCTGCCATTGTTCCCATGGTGGAGCCATGAAATAACCAGACAACTGAATCTGGCCAGGCGTGGAGGACATCTGAGGTAAACCAGCTGTTCAATGACTAAGGTGATTTTGGTCTCAAATCCCAATAGAATAGTGCCCAGAAGGAGTGTAGCCAATATTATTATTAGCCTCTTTCCTACAGGGTCATAGTGAGAGTTTTAAGGAGATGCCTAGCATGTAGAGCTAGAGGGGAAACATTCTGAAACAAAGCAACTTTGGTATTTTGAAATGTGATGTGTTGAATAGACCTTGTGGTCCTCATGACTAACATCCTTTAGCTTTTGCCTCAGAAAGCCAGATATAACATCATATGGTGTGGTATTAGGTGGGCCTCTCAAACGCAGGGCCCGGTGAAGGTGCTCAAACTCTATGTTCATCACCAAACAAATCAATGTGAGGGGTCTCCCTGAAATGGAAAATACCACCAAGGACCTCCAGTGGTCGCTCACTTCTTTATTAAATCACTAAGGGGGATTTAATAAAGAAGTGAGCGACCACTGGAGGTCCTTGGTGGTATTTTCCATTTCAGGGAGACCCCTCACATTGATTTGTTTGCATTGGCTCTCTCTTCTATGTTCTTGATGTTTCTGGCCATGTGTTACAAAATGGTAGTGTGTTGGTTTACTTGTGATTCAGTTGTGGCCCTTTGCATAGCCACAGACTGCTGCTCTCTCCATTGCTTTGTGATTAGGCCCTGCAGGTCAGATCTCAGGGTCTTAATTTCCACTGTGACGGCTGCAGTTGCTGATTATAGATCTTCTTTGGTCAGAAGATACCTCAGAATAGGCAGCCAGTTGGGAGGTGGGTCCGCTGACCTAATGAAGGAGTATAGTGATGGCAGCTGTATATCTGCTGACATCTTGCCTTGCCTTGTTGTTTAGACTTCCCCACATGGCTGGTAACATAGTTGTCGATTGCTGTAAGCAAGTTGGGTTTCAGTAATTTTAATTTTGACATAACCATTCAGCTATGTTTTTAGCACCTGTAATGTTTAATTTCTATTTTCTCATTACTGCAATATAATTGTAAATAATATAATAATATTGTTTTTAACAGGTAAAACAGATAAAAATGGCATTGAGAAAAGTGTGAAGAGTAAAAAGAAAGACTCTACAGGTATATTTCAAGTAAATGGAGAAAAAAAAGATGAAAAGAACAAAAAGAAAGGTAATTTAATTTTGTTAAAAAACTTGCCCTGATATCTCACTATTGTTATTAATTTTGTTGTGTTATGGGTGATACACCACAGTAGCCACCAACAAGGATTGTGTACCATGTACAAATTCTGTTCAGACGAGCCCATACTTTAAATATTTGCTCCTAACTCCTAACTTTTTTCCACTGGCCTTTCTTCCCTAGTTATCTACCATCTTTCCCCAAAAATAAGACTGGGTCTTATATAAATTTCCCCCCCGAAAAAAAGCACTAGGGCTTATTTTCCGGGGAGGTCTTATTTCGGGGGGAAAACGTGTGCTAGGAAGCAGGTCTATGTTTGGGGGAATTCGGGGTAGTTCACTAGGGCATGGAATCCTGCAAATCTATGTTTGGGTAAAGATTCCAGAACATACTGTAGATTAGCTTACTCGCTAATAGAATACTCACGTTTACTCGCGAATGGAATCTTGCGTATCTATGTTCTTGCGTATCTATGTTCGGAGAAATTTCTCTGAACATAGATAAGCTTACTCGTGAATGGAATCCTGCACTTCTATGTTCGGGGAAATATCCCCGAACATAGATTAGCGAATGCCTAGGGCTTATTTTCGGGGTAGGGCTTATATTAGGAGCATCTCCAGAAAAAATAAGCTTATTTTCGGGGGGTGTATTATATTCAGGGAAACACGATAGTAGATAGTGCATTTGGTTTCAACTCCCCGAAGTGCCAGAGGGATGCATTACAAATCAAGCAACAATGACCATGGACAAACAATTTTGTTGTTGCTTGTCTTCATTTATTATATGGTATAGCTATGGTCTATCATCAGTAGCAGACCTACTGCTGGTGCCACTGGCTCAGGGGGCCCTTCGGGTAGCCCATGCACTTCGGGCCACACGATGGCCATCTCTGACTATGGGCCCGGTCAGGCACTGTGGTCCTTAACTGTGTGACCTGTCCCCCTGGTCTATGAGAAGCTACAGTGCTGGGAGGATGGACACAAGTTCACACCCTGTGAACAAACGAGTTGTGTAGGAGAGGGAGAAAGCCGAGGACCGGAGAGAAGGGAGTCTGAGAGCCAAGACCAGAAAAAGTCCCATCACACTCAACCAGATGCCACCCTCCTGCACAATAAAGGTATGGAAGCAGGAGGTGGCTAAAGATATATTACACAATCTTTGAGTGTATATGTCTGTATGTGTGTTATCTGTGTATGTATTATGTGTGTGTATATATGTTATCTGTGTATGTGTTGTGTGTGTCTTATCTGTGTGCTGCATGTGTTATCTATATATGTATATGTGTTATCTGTTTATGTGTTATGTGTGTATATGTGTAATCTGTATGTTGGTGTACGTGTTATCTGTGTGTGGGTGTATGTTTTTTTTTTTAGTTTTTTTTTAAATTCTTTATTTTATTTGTGCATTGAGTTAACAAGCAGTTTTGCACTGCCATGACAGCTGGTGCAAACATAAAGGCAACATGCAGTAACAATAGTGTAGCATCAGAAACATTGCACATTTTTAAATTATAGCAGGAGTAACATATTAGACATATCAGGCTGCGACACAGTGCTAGTGGTAGCTGTAGTTAGGTTAGCTGGGTGCTCTAACACACTGGGAATGTATAGGTCTTTTGATTAAAGGCACAGCACCCATGGGTGTCACCAGAGTGATATTAATTATGTTGAAGCAGTTAGAAAGAAAACTCACAACATTAACAATATCATAGTGTAGGCGTTTCTTGTTAAAATGGGTAACACACATAGGAATTGCTTAACTGATATATAATAGATTACATGAAAGGTAATACTCGTTTGGGAGTGGTTAATAATTAGGGGTGCTCAGTTTGCCTTAATGGCACAACGGCTGGATCTTTTTAGATGTCAGGCTATACATTGAGACTGCCGGGTATGGCAATCAGTAAGTAGTTAGGTGTCTAGGCTAGTTATATTCCCCGCAGATCACCATGCAGCTGAGGGCATCTATGGAGGGCATGCTTAATTGTTATGATTATAATGGAAAACGTAAGGCTATGCAAATAGAGCGACAGACAAAAAACAGTTCTGGCTAACAGACGTGGTTAAGGAGGCTTTCGGTATATAAACTAAGCATCTCCCAGGGGCATGTAGCTGCTGTGGGAGTTTATATACTTTGTCATAAGTCCATTCAGCCGATGCCTGTGAGTGGGGGGTCAGCGACCCGGTAACGTGAGAGTCTTAGGTGCTGTAACTCTTGTTTGGGTAGCTTGCCAGGGCGTTGGGGGAGTGGGGCTGGTGGTTGCATACCCCTCTCCCCAGGCCCTGCAGGGCTAAGTCCACACGATCGAAGGATAGTGGATGTATTTCGCCCCTTGTTGTACCTTCTGTTTCTTGCGCCATCCGGTCGCAAAGGTCTCTGCTGATTCCCAGCATTTCGGTGTGGTAGACTCGGGTGTGCCCTCAGAGCTGCTGCAGGTGGTCGGTGCTTCAACACGGGTGATGATCTCTGCCTTGCAGCTCGGGGCTCTCCTCTGTTTTGCCTGCCAGTGACGTCCCTTGCAGGGGGTGCTCGTGGCGTACCAGAGGGTGAGTCGGGACTCTGTATTTTCACCATCTCGGGTGACCCCTGCTTCCGCGGAGGAGAGAGGGCAGCCAGGTGTCCCAGCTGTGCGGGAGAGGGTTCCATAGTCCCGGCTTTCGCGTTAGCCAGTGTCGGCACTGGGGTCTGGCTGTTGTTCTCCAGCCGCCTCCAGAACCGCCTGCAGATGGCATCAAATTTTGCCATGAAGGCCTCTGCCCAGTCGTTTGCCCTCTGTCGTTCTGCGGCTGCTGCGGTGCCGTAGGCCATCTTGGCCCGGCCTCGTGGCTCTCGGTTCAAATTGCACCCTGGAGCGTCTCGGAGGTGAGTGTTCCCTGCGTGAAGGTGGACCGGGATAACCCCCACCGGTCCAAGGGGGGGGGGGACGGAGACCCCTGTATGCTTTGTCAGCTTTGTGTGGCGTCGGGAAGGCGGCCGTCCCTCCCGCGTCTGCCATGTGGGTAGGCCTTAGGCCTTTGCCGAGTGGATTTTGCTTGTCTGGTAGCTTGATTGGTATCATATTAATCTTCTCGGTGTCTCCCCACCTTTGGAGGCTTTACTGACCCGATTGATCGCTGGTTTGAATGTGATAAACAGCTTTATTTGTCGCTTGCTGCAGGAGCTACTGAGGCTAACGTCCTCTCAGCTCTGCGGTCAGTCCCCGCCCCGTGGGTGTATGTTTTAACTGTGTGCATGTGTTATCTGTAGTTATCTGTATCTGTGTATCAATGTGGGCCCTTGGTATGAGTGTGTCTGTGCATCTTTATGTGTGTTAGTGTTTTAGTATCTTTATTGAGTGTCATTGTGTCTGTGTATTTGTGTGTGTGTGTGTGTGTGTGTGTAAGGGTGTGTATCTGCAAGTGTGTCTCTGTGTGTGTATTATTATTTTCGGCATTTATGAAGGGCCAACATATTCCGCAGCACATGTGACTGTTTATCCAGATATGTCAGTGTGTGTCTGTAGATATGTGTGTGTGTGTGGCAGTGTATATGTGTACACATCTCAACATTCAAACTCCAACACTAGACACAAATATACCCCTGCATGCAAACGTCAACACTACATACACCCCTACATTTAAAGGCAAACACTACAAACAAGTAAAACACTGATTACAAATGGCAACAGTACATAAAAACATACAACACTACACAATAATACACCCCTACATCCGCACGCTTACATTCAAACACGCAAACACTGCTCAGTGCCAACGACAACCCTGCAAGCATGAGCAAATGGTAGATCTCCAGCTTGTTTGACAGACAGGGATCTAACTTTTTATTCCATCCTTGTGATAAGGGGCCCAAACAAAATTCTTGCACCAGGGCCCTCTCTACTTTAGTTCCGCCACTGTATGTCACTGAACTCTATGCTTTGATATGCATTGGGAAAGATTGGGAAAATGTATATTTCTGTGGGTGTATTTCCTTAAAGAATCCAGAACCTCATTACGTACCCCGGAGAATGTTGGTAAGGAGATATTGTTTGCTTTGATATTCATGAGGGGCTATAAGGGAGGTTCTAATTACATGCATCCATCTTAAATTATGGCACAAAATAACAATTTTCAAAAATTCTTAATTATATACTTATGTAGTTGATGTTGGCCCAGATTATGCAAACTCGTTTTTTAAATCACCACAATTCTCTGCTTAGTGTATACGTTACTGTTATAAGTGCCAGCTTTGGTGAGATCATCCTTCCAAAACATTCCCACCTTCTCAATTCTCAACCTAGCCCCTTCCCTATCTACCTGTTATACTCATTCAAAACCCCAGACATTTTTTGAAATTACTATC